TTTCTTGTTTTTTCATAATTAAAGCATGGAGTCTATTGTCGAACAGCAACGCAAACTTTTGGCGGAACTTAATGTTCTACTAAGTCGTAGCCCATTTCCAATGAAACGATCTCGCCTACTAAAAATAGTGGCATTAAATATTTTTTTACTCGAGCACAATATGCACAAAGGTATGTGGATGTGCATAATATAATATGTCATTAATAATTCCTCATAATTAAAATTATTTAAGAATCACGTCGTGAAATCCGCTACTATGCATTTAATTTTTGCAATCAGTTTCTGGGTCTGCTCTTACAGAAGTGCAATCAATTATACGAAACATTCAAAGTTGACATATTGGATGGTGAAATGCTTTGGTAAGTTGTCGCATGCAACATTTATAAGTTATGCTTCTGTATAATGCTATCTTTTACTACAGTAATGCCGATCTAAATACGTTACTGCAATATATAAACGTCTATACAGACTGGTTGGCGCGTCATGTGGACATTTGGGAGGCAGTGCGCAGTGAAGAGTTAGTAATTTGCGCATTTGTCTTAAAGATAAATTTAAGTTTATTTCATTTAAAAACGCAGACATATCATTATTGATTGCTGGACCGAATGGGAGTGCTTTTATCAATTTCTTAGACGCATGATCGACGAATCGGCCACAACTAAATTGCCGCGCTGCGTTTTGGAAGAAGAGTTGTATTTATTGGGTTTTACACCGATCGTGTCCACCACAAATAACAGCAGTGTGCACAAGAATCTGGACATGCATTCTTCAAATGATAGAGAGCAGTTCTTTCCACGAATTTTAAAAATATACGCTTTTCATGCACAGTACGAAAAAAATCGAACGAAATTGCAAATGCGCAACGACACATTTACATTGGAAGAGCTCAACGGTGTTATGGAGAAGGCGTTGTGCACGCTGCACAGTGACGAAGACGATAACAGCGAAAATATTGTGGTAAATGGCGAAAGCATGGAATTAACGCTCAAAGAGATTAACTCGACAAAAACTGACGGTATTGAGGATGCGCAAATTTCGCAATTATCAAAGAGGAAAAAGGAACTGGAGGCCCGGTCGAATGTGAAGAAAATGTATAGCGCAAAACTTGAAGTAATTTTTAGGAAATTAATTTCACGGTTTGCTTTGTATAAATATAATTTTTTTCGCTTTTACAGGAAATACTCAAATTTGTCGACACCACGCTATATATAGAAGTGCGCCCGAAGTATCTAATGCCAGATACAAACTGTTTTATAGATTGTCTTGATGATTTCCAGAAGCTTATAAATGAATATAAGCGTTACATACTCATTATACCACTAACTGGTAGGTTATTGGGCATGGTTCAAATCCGAGTTGCATATAATGCATTAAAATATAATTGAATTAACATTTAAATATATTTGTTTCGTAATCTTAATTAAAAATAATTTTCATGTATCTAATCTTCAATGCCGGTTTAAAAAATTAAAAAAAAAACTATGTAATTCAAAGTACCGAATTGAAAAAAAACTCAATCACAAATACCGGATTGAAAACTAAAAACAAAGTACCGGATTGCAAAAGAAAAAATTTTGAATTTCAAATACCGGTTTGAAAAAAAATATATAATCCCAATTTTGTAATTAAAAATTGCTTTCGAATTTACAGCTTTTCGTGTTCTACCATTTTGAACTAAAGCAAAGCAACTATAAACATTCAATCGATTTATATTTAATAAATTTTTAAC